AGTGCTGAGCTTGTGAACTCTATTCATTAAAGAATCCTGTAAAAATGTATTACGGTTTCCACAAAAATATTAAGCAGCTGCTTTCAACATTGATAATTATAAGAAATGTTTCTTGAGCACCAAATTTGCAAAACAGAATGATTTCTGAAGGATCATGTGACACTGAAGACTGGAGTAATGATGCTGAAAATTCAGCTTTGCCATCACAGGAATAAATTACATTTTAAAATAAATTAAAATAGAAAACAGTTATTTTAAATTGTAATAATATTTCACAATATCACTGTTTTTACTGTATTGGTTTGATCAAATAAATGCAGCCTCTGCGTGACTTCTTTCAAAAACATCTGAAAATCTTACTGACCTCCAACATTTGAATGGTAGTGTATCTCTCATATTTCATAAATGATATACTCCTGTGTGAAGGAGTGAGAACGAGAGGGCAACTAGGAGGGCAAGTGTTGCTGAAATTTCAGTCACAACATGAACAATCACAGTGGAAACACTCCGTTGACATACAACCCCACCGAAAGCACAAACCACCCAAAGAGACACATAAGGAGGACACAGAGAGTCTAATGCACACTGTCACTGATGCAGAAGAAAATGTTGTGGATGAGACAGAACATCCATGCCAAGGAATGTCAGCAGTAAGTAAACATACGCCATCCTATCAGAAGGTTACCAACTGATCAATGCTTCAATCATTACGCATGTTATTAAAACTGACAAGTGATTTTAATATGCTCAGGCTGGAGCCATGGTGCCCATGTGCGAAATTTAAGTTCAAGTGTGGCTCTCTTAATTACCCAATCTCCTCTCCATAATTTTGTGTTCTCTCTCGACTAATAACTACACCGCAAATATGAAAACATCATATTCATCATAGTATGACAACATAATGACAACATTACTTGTTTCTTAATAATTATTAATATTATTATAATTTAACTTAATTTTTGGTGCTGATTCCAAAAATAGTGCCTGTTTTGCTCTAGTCACACTTTCTCACAAAATATGACATTTCGTAGCATTTTCGCCTTTGACAACTATTTATAAGATGAACAAGTCTTGTATTATCCTTTTATTAACCAGAAAACCTGCCACGAGACATGACATGATTCCTATACTCCTCTGACCCAGGTTACATTTATTTGTTCACTTCTCATTTTCACATGTTTGAATGATTCTGAAGACATTATTTTATGCCTAATCCTGGTTTACACATTTTATTTTCAAACCCCTTGCAACCTATTGCATAAGTTAATACGTCATTAAAACCAAAACTTTTGACTTCTGATGGCTTTGTTTATTTGATAAATGCATTATAGCTGATACATACAGTTGAAGTCAAAAGTTTTCATTTTGCAGAACCTGCAAAATGTTAATTATTTTACCAAAAGCCGGGGGTGAAAACCTTTGAACAGAATGAAGATGTGTACATTTTTTCTTATTTTTCATTTAGTACTGCCCTTCAGAAGATACTTACATGTTTCCTAGAAGACAAAATAAGTTACATTTACCCTGATCTTCAAATTCAAAAAAGTTTTCACTCCCTGGCTCTTAATGTATTGTTTTTCCTTCTGGAGCATCAGCGAGTGTTTGAACCTTCTGTAATAGTTGCATATGAGTCCCTCAGTTGTCCTCAGTGTAAAAAGATGGATCTCAAAATCATACAGTCATTGTTGGAAAGGGTTCAAATACACAACAATGCTGGAAAACCAAACGATTTGTGGGACCTGAAGGATTTTTCTTAAGAACAGCAGGCAGTTTAACTGATTAGGACAAACAAGGGACTTGTGAACAACTATCACTAAACAAAAAAACACAGCTGTGGATCATTCAGGTAACAACACAGTATTAAGAATCAACTTATACTTAAACTTAAACTTTTGAACGGGGTTATTTTTATAAATTCAACTATTAATTTCTCTTGTGGACTATATGTAAACATCTTTTATGTGAAATATCTTATTCAGGTCAGTACTAAACATGCATTTTGTATGATCCCTCTTATTTTGGTAAAATAATTAACGTTTTGCAGATTCTGCAAGGTGTATGTAAACTTTTGACTTCAACTGTACATGTATTGAATTTTGTGGGGGAGAAAAACTGTGCATGATGGAAAGTTTTTGTTGATATTTTTTAACTCAGCATCATCAAATTAGGAATTACCAGAAATTAAATGACTAGAATAATTTTTTATAGATGAGGGACTTTAATTATGCCGACAGACACAGACCTTTCGCAGAAGGTGTGCAGGCAGGGCAGGACTTTGGGGTTGTGGTAGTGGTCCAGACAGATACTACACACCAGGAACTGCTTGTCTATCTGGCGGACCACTGGACTTGTGCGGCCGGTCTCAAACTTCGCCATGGTGACAGACATCCACAGAGGGGGCTTGAGGCCAGGACACACCTAAACCTGAAATAAAGAAGATGCTATGTTACTGAAAAACCCCACAATGCTTCACCATTTTGGATGGAAAAGCTCATAATATGGCACGAGAAGACAACCTCCAATATGAAGAGGAACACATGAGAGTGAGACGACAGGTGACGCCTGCTGAGCTGCTACCAAAGCAGTAGCTTTAATACAGGAAAATAACTCTTATTCTGCAGGCCAAAGAACACACTCTATTTCATCAGAAGAGAGGAGCGTGGAAAATTGGATTATGGGATTGGGGAGGCAAATAGAAGCTGTCAAATTTCATGCCACTTTTCCAGATGAGACAGCAACAGCGGGCTGATAAGTACTGATACAAGGACATGAACTACTGCTGCGGCCATTACTAGCTCCTGACAGTGGTGGTACATGCTGTGCCAATTTTTACTTTAGTTGTCCTCTAGGCGAAGAGAACTCTTATTCTGCAGGCCAAAGAACACACTGTATTTCATCAGAAGAGAGGAGCGTGGAAAATTGGATTATGGGGTTGGGGAGGCAAATAGAAGCTGTCAAATTTCATGCCACTTTTCCAGATGAGACACAGCAACAGCGGGCTGATAAGTACTGATACAAGGACATGAACTACTGCTGCGGCCATTACTAGCTCCTGACAGTGGTGGTACATGCTGTGCCAATTTTTACTTTAGTTGTCCTCTAGGCGAAGAGATATGAGACCGAGGTAAAACTAGTAATTCGGGATTAATTCTATTTCAGGATGTTAAAGAAAATTGTCTAACATAGAAACATAGAACATAGTCCTTTCAAAGGACTAAAAACAAAAATTAACATAAATGAGATAAATCTAAATTAAACATGCTAATGCACAATTCCATTTAGCTGTGCACACTATATAGTGAAACATAATAGTAAATGTACTGAAACTATTTAACATGTTATAATAGTATTTCCTGCATTTGGAAGCAAAATCATTATGATCCAGTCCACTGACACAGCATGTATCAACATATCCGACACATTTTACCCCACAGCTACCATTTTTTTAATAAATGGTCTGATTAATAATTCATGGGTATTTTAATAAATTATTCAGCCAAATAATTTAGATGTACAATTCACCAACGTGCATATGGCATTTCTTTTAGATCTGGATATATTTGCTTTGACAAATAACTTTATCTGGCATGTAGAAAATGCAATTTTCAGCACAACAACAAATTAAAACATTTTTACTTTTTAATGTGTATCTGTCACAGTCATCTGTATATGATTAATGTTCACATCAGGAGTGTTATGCTCTATTTTTTTTTTAATGGGGCTAGCCTGACTCACTTGGTGTTCTATTAAATAATAATACATGTAATAATGTACAAGATAATACATGATCAAAGATACATAGAATATATACATATCATAAAAAATAAATATTATAACATAAATATCAAAAAAATGGTGTAATATTTTGTTTTAAAATGTATCATTAAAAACAGTACTAATATAATAATAACAAAAATAATAATAATGAATATATCAATATAACTATATTAGTTTGATATTTGTATATATGTGTGTGTAAAATGCTGTAAAATGAGGATGCTGTCAAAAACAATGTCATAAATAGATTTTCTTAATTAACTTCTATTAACTAAATTAAATCAACATTTGGTGTGATCATCCTTTGTGTTTAAAGCAGCTTTTGCTCTCGGTGCACTTGCACATAGTTTGTCAGGTAGCTTTGCAGGTAGGTTTCTTGAAGCATCTTGAGACGTTGCCACAGTTCTTCTGGATTTAGTCTGTCTCAGTTTGTTCTGTTTCTTCTCATCATTCCAGACAGACTGGATGATAACCAGATCAGATCTCTGTGTGGAGCACTGGCTGTTGTCAGACAAAAATCTCACTGGACTTGAATTATTACAATTTATGGCAAAAAGAATGTTTTGAAATGTAAACTGATATTTCCTACTGACACACTACAGCAAAAGATAGAAATAACTGACTTAAAACAATTTTAGCTGGTGAAAATACTAGTGTTCTAATAATTTTGGCCACCACTGTATATGTATTAACATTGCAATCCTATTGGCTCAGATTTAGATGTGGCATCTAAAATCAAGGACAATTTACTAGATTAAGGGGGCAACACATCTTACCCCACTCTCCCCTACAAGTCAGATTGAACAGAAACATAACATAAGGCCTTTAATTCAGGAAAGTCTCTCCATCTGATTAGTTTGCAGGCCAGTGATTATCACTCTATCAGTTTCTCACTTCTGCTCTCTGCCATGTTTTGACAGCGAGTGTCTTGTTCTCAGTTTACTCCAGTGCTGCTCTGATAATTCTGCAGGACTGACATGTGCTCTCATGGACGTATGAGTGATGGTAACGTGAGAGCTTTAAACACCAGTTCCCTTTGCCCACTCAATGTAATCCTCCTCCCCCAAACCCCCTTTCCCTCTCTGATTTGATGTGTTGATGTATGCTGGCTATATTTAGACGTATGTCTCAGTGGGGTAGGCTTAATAACGGTCACGTCCAGCAGCGGATGGCTGAGATTCTTGTGGCACAACACAGAACGAGGAGCCAGAGCAGGTATCTGGGCTGACGAGGGCTCAAATATACACGACACGCAGAATTCATGATCATGTGACTAAACATGTTTGCAAAGCACATTATTTATAAATGAGATTTGCTGGTCTGAATTGAGAAACACATCTGTAAATAAGCGCAGAACCTTTCCTGAAGTCAATTACATATAACAGTGTCCATAAAAAAATACTTTTAGTTTGCATGCATGTGAGAGTACACACCTTGATCATTATAATCAGGTGTATAAACAGGTTTTTGAATATATTTTTCACTGTAAAAAGTATTTTTTCTTACAAATATCACACATTTATTCATCATAAATATGATTACGTTTTTGGGGAGTCACACCACATGACATTTGACCTGAGCTAAACTTGTCTGGACATTAAAAGGTTATCTGATATTTTAAGATTTATTGACTTGTAGTCAAGAGGGTCTGCATATGAATGACATCATTTCACTCAGGGTTCAAGGCTTTGATTTGACAGACATTTTAACATTATTTAAAATATAAATATTGGCAAACATTTTAAAAATATAAAATAAGCAATGAAGCAGTTTTGTTAGATAATAGTAAAAAAATTATAATGATAGCCAAACTGCTGTTTTTTATTTTCAAGAAATGTTTTTTTTGTCTATATATTTTGTATACATTTTTATTCTAGTTTTAGTTATTTAGTACATCAATTTAAAGTAAATGAAAATGACAAGTGTTTGCCTCAGCTATGATGATTGAATTAAAAAAAAAAAAATTTAATATTTTATTTTCTTTCAGTTAAAATTATTTTATTTCAAGCAAGGTAACTCTGTTTATGGTTTAGGTTAACTACAATCCTCCTCCTGGATGGATGGATAGATAGATAGATAGATAGATAGATAGATAGATAGATAGTGATGTCACAAAGGGGCGGCTGGCTAAAGCCAAACCACGTCTACCGGGCTACGCCATTGGCTGAGGCTGTATGCACAGCTTTTGCTCCTCCCACAAGCTCTGCTGTGATTGGCCGTTCAGTGTTTTCTTCCCAAAGGCATGGATTGCCTCAGAGAGAAACGATTCCTACTGACAGGTTGGGTGGGTTGGGAAAGAGAGAGGATTTGAGTTGAATGCCAGCTTTTTAGTTGCAAGCACTTTAGTGTGAGCGAAAGCTTATGATGAACAATGCACAATAACGACGAAAGGTTTGACAACATTTCGAGTTGTAGTGTGCCACAAAGGAACGTGTTCAGTTCACTGTGCACCTGCTTCTAAAGGAAAAAGCTTCTAGGTGGATAAAGCTGCTACTTTTAAGTGAGTGAATCATTTTGAGTCAAGAAAGTGTGGGATGTTTCATTTCTGCAAGATTATTTACAGTGTATTCCCTTTATTGTTCAACTATTTTAACATGACAAAATCATCAAAATGAATGTTAATCTTGGTTTAACTTAGGATATTGCCCTACTTTTGCTTGCTTGAGAACTGACTGACATATAAAGTCTTAAAACAATTGCTAGGTATGATGGTTATATAAGAGATTATGTCATCTGGGTGGAGTGACTCCAGATTGTAGAATTATGAATTTAAATTTCAAGGCCTATACTTCTACCTAATACATATACTTTTGCATATTTATGAATGTAATTATTTATTAGTTTAAAAAGAGATTTAAAAATACATTGTGAGTGAATGACATTTTTAATCCATCAGCAGAGCGGCTGGAGATTAAATGGAAAACATCAACTGTCTGAGTTCTCCCAAGGTGGCTGGTTTTCAGATAACACCCACACCTCTGACTGACGCCACTGCTCCAAACTTGCACCAACACAACAGGCACAACTGAAGCTGGACTTTTTAATCATGGAATTTTTTTTGTATATGGGAGAATACATGCTGTAACTTGTGTAAAAGGGAAATGAAAGACCTGTCTGTATATTTGTGATCTTTGTAACAGAGTAGCTTTGTGGTTGATGATCTGGGCTGACATGATAAATATTGCTTCTAGGTAGAGGCACCCAGAACTTACTGGCCCTAAAAAGAAGTGGTAATTTTGTTCAACCAGATCATCAGAAACAGCCAATTGAAATCTTAAATGCATTTCCACTGCACTTACTAAGCAAGGCTAATATCATCTGTCAGGGTTTTGGACTGTCCAGTAGATCAGTAACTGGCTGTGCCTAGTTAGATAGTTAGTTACTTTATTGTTTCACACCTTTTTTTATTGTTTCCTTGGCTGAAAATTGGTCTTTGGTCTCGCTTACATACAACAATGACAGTACAATTCTTCACATATCAATACAATTCACATAGCACATCAAATAAATAATAATTAATACATTCAAACAACCCTAAACAACAAATAAAAACAGCAAATAAAACACAAAAATGCTGCGAGACACAGGGTCAGCAGCAGGCGGTGCCCCCGGAAGTTGGTCAAACAGCAAGGAACTGTGGGAAAATT